AAATGTGCCAGTAGGTGGTTGTGTCCTCAAATATAAATGATCTTAGGGGGAGGGGGAAACACATCTAAGTAACTGTAATTAAATGAAAATTGTGGTACAATGATAGTAAAATACATAAATTTTAAAATGTACAACTTAACCTGAATGAACTATATGTAAGGAAGAACACACAAAATGTACCTCTAACCAATTGACACGCTTTCTACAAGATGTAATGAAAGATGATTCTTTTTTTGTGTGTGTATTTTGTTTAATAAAAACAATAAAAAAAATTATATACATATAAAAAAGAGGCCATCTCTGTTCAAAATTGAACAGCCCTCTATTAACAGAGGGGGGCGGGATACAACATGATGTATCTCCAGTCTACAAACAGGCCTTTCAACAGTTCCAGGAAGGCTCCACACCCATTTGCACTACTTGGGTGACCCTGATGACACAGATAAAACTCCAGGTGGCCTTAACACTAAACAAATGTAGCTGTCTGAAAGGAGTATAAATCCTTCCATTCCCCACCATCTAGTCAGAGCTGAAGAAGCTTCTTGGATGAGAAGCCAAATGTCTTCAAACAAAAACCAGAAAGTCCAGTTGCCTCTTGAAAAAGCACTTTTGGGACAACCATGACATGGATGACTGAGAATCTCCATACACCAGTCTTTCATTTGGTGGCAAGCCAGAACAGAGGCTATAGAGCAGTGTTTCTCAACCTTGGCAACTTGAAGATGTCTGGACTTCAACTCCCAGAATTCCCCAGCCAGCATTCGCGAATTCTGGGGAATTCTGGGAGTTGAAGTCCAGACGTCTTCAAGTTGCCAAGGTTGAGAAACACTGCTATAGAGGCAGGATAAAAATTGTCAGTAGGAACCCAGAATGTTAGGCCACTATAGTTTTTTGCTGGCTTAAGAATGAATGGATAGTACTATAACTGAGCCATAGAAAAGACCCTCAAATAAGGTGTTTCATAACATAATTTTCCTCATTTGTCTAGATTCTCATTAAATTCCTTTCTATTATTTTCATCTATTTCTCCTGCTAAAAACCCATTGGATTCATTATATGCTCTCTCTATTTTTTTTAAAAAAACTAATCCAGTTAGCGTGCCTCATTTAATCAGACTTAAGCATGTTTGAAATTCTCAGGTAGCTGATTTTTAAATTGGAATGTAAGGCAAATGTGGATAAGATCAGAAGCATGTTTCTTTTAATCAGACCAGTATCATTTGTCACAATGCTACAAAAATGTTTTAGTACAATTGCTACTTCAGTCCCATTTAGAGAATCAACCAAATTATACTCTAATTACCATATATTTATACTGTAAATGTATGCTAATTCTGGAACAGCAGGCCTACCGCATAACCTCATCTTCCATTTATGTGTTCTGACGTCATTGGGAAATATAGTCCAATATGTGTATCTGGAGGATAACTTATTAAGGAAGGCTGCCTTAGTATATTTACCATAGTATGTTCCTATGTCCATTTCAAATAAACGTAGCCACCAACTTGGTAATTTTTGTTACCAAAAATTCTGTTCAATTGTCATTAAAATGGAAGAGTTAATTAATATTATGAGATTTTCCTTTTCGGTCTTTGACAACTTTTAATTATCACTTGGTCAGTTGACATGAATCATTTTCATGATTCAGGCAGTACTCCAATGGTAAGAGTAAATTGCTATTTAATCTACATAGGGAACACATTCAATGCTGGATAGGGTTATGCATTCCTATGAATCGTAACTTGGATATGAAATATAGATTAGAGAAAAAGTCCTTTTAAATCTTTAAGATCTGAAGAATATTTTTGGATCATTCTATCATTTTAATCCCAAACTCAGGCAATTTATCATTATTATTTTTCTAATCTTAGAAAATGTTTTCTTTTGATAAATGGCCATGCTAGATGCTTATTATTTGGCTTTATGCATAAGCATTCTTATTTATTATTTATTTTATAAAGTTTCCTTTCTAAATAAGAATGACAGCTAAAAGGGAGGACTCAATATTAAGAGTTTCTAGGAGCAGGAAAAGCAGGCAGTTAAAATAGAGTCACTATTGTTCTCTGAAAAGGAGTAAGTGTTCTGAATATTTTGTGTCAAGCTCTGAACAAACAACTCAGAAACAACAAGACTATAGAACATCTCATTGTTAGGAAAAAGGAATGTTCTTACATGGCATAATTGTTATCAACATTTTCAAGCAGGTCTATTAGCAATTTAATGGAATATTGGTTATTCATGGACAATAATAGCTCTAGTTGAAATGTCCATTATGTTCTCTCTTTCCCATGCACTTTGGAATGAGTAGAATGTGATAGCTGAGCTTTCAGCAAGCTTCATGAATTTTAAATACTTTTCATTGCCTCCAAAAGGGGGGAGGCACATGGCATGTGGTCAATGGTGCACTTGGAATTAGCAGTCACTCCAGTATTAGGTGTCTCAAAAGATAATGAATGCTTGGCTTATGCAGGTGCATTCTTGGCCTGCCGTGCATGTCCAGGCAGAATAGATTATGCCTCTTTACTTCGACATCTTGCAAAATAGCCAATTGTTACTTTGTGCAGAGAAAGGTATTCAAAATATTGCTTTGTCAGCATACATGACTCTGGCTTAATTTTTTGTTTTTGTTATTTCCGTCATCTTTATTCAATCAATTTTTAACCGATGTTTTTGCAATATGATAATGAACCCTCATGAAGTGTTTCGATGCTTCCATAATGTCACCTCCAAAACTTGCCTTGATACTCTTTAGAGTTCTATCTTTCTTGTTCTTCTACATCATTAGTTTTGAATGGGAATTTTCTCTCTTACTGTGTGCACAATTATATAGCTGCAGACTGAGGCACATCACACAAAAGAGGAAAAAAATATGCATAAAATATGCATAATTTAAATAAAAATGGAGTATAATTCACCATAAAAGAGCCAGTATGGTGTGTGGTTATTATGCTGGCCTACAAACCAGGAAACTCTGAGTTCCAGTTCTTCCTTAGGCATGAAAGCCAGCTGGGTGACTTGGAGGCCAGTTACTCTCTCTCAACCCACCTCACAGGGTCGTTGTTTGAACAGATCAATCCTTCAAACAGAGAAGCTCTTCAGACAGAGCAATGCCTTCTGATGGTTCCACCACAAATCCGCGAAGCACTTATCCGCGGAGACATAAGCGTGAAGACTAATTCACGCCGTTCGAAGCGCTAAGGAAAACCACGACCCTACCGCGATGACATAATCGCGGAGGGCAAATCCGCGCATTCCCAAGCACTCAGTACCCTAAACCTAACCCTAAACCTAACTCTAACCCTAAACCTAACCCTAAACCTAACCCTAAAACAAACCCCTAATCCTAACCCTTACCTTAATTGAAATCGGCTTTCTGCTGCGGCGCCATTTTAAAGCGCCCTTCTGTTGCCGCGCTGTTGTCGCGGCGGTGATGACGCGCGGTGATGATGTCGCGGCTTTAGCGACGCGATTTTATCACCGCTATTTTGACAAGCGCGGTTTTGTCGTGCCACGCCTTCTGACTATCATTCAAATACGGGCCCGGGTTCTATATGCTTACATCTGGAGTCCATCACTGCAATACAGATTCAAAACTAATGACAGCATGTAATGCAACTTACTGCTGTTTTGTGTGTATGTTTTAAAGATCAGATCACTATTTATGGCTCTTGTAACAATCATTTGTTGTTTGGAAGATATCTAAAAATGACTAAAGAAGAAGAAAGTAAATCTGAAATTACTAGTTTGACTATGATCTGTGTAGACTGTGACTTCATTCTTGATACTTGGATATCTTTTTTATGTATGCTAAGAGTATGGTAGCATTTGTTCCAATTTAATTGCTGCTCATGGACATATGACAAGAAACACAATGCAATGTCACACATTCGTATGTTTGTGTAATATTAAAATTGCATTCATAGCATTACAGGTCACTATTGCTACTATTTTCTATGCGTTAAAAAGAAAAAATGTGTTAATTATACCTTTATCTTTCTCTGTCTGTAATTCATAATGTTGACAAGCATGCTTTTTTTTCTTTTAGAAAAAGATACTAATTTATTGTATCCTGGACCCTTTAGAAAAGTCTTTTGGCAATATTTATGTTAGATACTAACTTGTTATTAGTACCATTGCTGAATTTTAAAAAATAATTTTCCCTTTATTAACTTGGCCCCTCTTAATAATTATGCATTCTTCTGTGATGCTGCTTCATTCCTTCAAACACAGAGGCAGACTTTCCTTTTCCATTTTTTTCAATTGCTAGACCTTGAAATGATTCCCATCAGTAAGAATGATAATTTAGTCCTTGCATAATGACCATTCTTTTAATCACTGTTTCAATTTGCAATGGTGCTGAAAAAGGTGACTTATGATTATTTCTCGCATTGACAAAAGTCACAGCTTCCCTGTGGTCACCTGATCATGGTTTGGACTATTGGCAACTGTCATAAAGTTATGACAGTCACAACATCTTGCAGTCATGCGATTTTGCCACTGGTGACCCTCCCAGTTGGTTTAGGACTATGAATGGTTCACTTAATGACTGCAACCAGGACTGCTGGAATAACACTAAGCAGGATGGCCATGTGTTGTTTTGCTTAACAGCCATTTCACTTAAAAGCCATTTCACTTAATGATAGAGTTGCTTGTCCCAATTAGGGAACTTAAGCAAGGATTAATTGGTCTACAAGGCTGAAGCCTACGGTACTAGGACATGCCTAAAAGCAGTATGTGGAAAAATGAATCAGTATGCAGAAATGTAGCTCTGGGAGAATTGATTGGGCATGTATGATATGCTTTCTGAATGAGCCAGATGGCACAGTTCCATTTCTACATATTGGCTTCTTGGAAAATGCTGAGTCTGTAGTAGACTCATGCATCACTTTAGATTTGATTCCAGAAAGGGCACACTCTGAAACATTTTTTGTAACTGACTCCAGAGTGCTGCATGGTATACTGAGTGATAGATTAAACCAGACAACATATTTGGGTAATATTCAGATCAATGTTTGTGCATTAATACATGTGTATATATATTTAATTATAAATGAGAAGATTCAAAGCATCAAAAAACTTAAATGCATAGCCTGTAGATCTGTTGTGATATCTGCTTGAATTAGAAGAAGACACATATTTGGGGATAGTGATAAAATTTTAGAATATAATGATGAAAAAAAATAAAAAGATTGCCTTTTAAAGCTTACATATCTGTTTGCTTTACCAATTTTCTATTATTGTTATTGTTAGTTGCACTCAGCCAGATGTTCAGGCTGAATTTGGCATTTTTGGTCTACTTATCGAGTCCTTTCCAAGGACCTGGGATAGGGAGATGTATTGTCTCAGGTTGTAAACTCTTCCAAATAAAGCTGCCTTTTATTCCAAGTAAAAATGACTTTTATTGTTGTTGTTTGTTGCTAATAGCTAGCTTGCATTGTCACTTCTTTGAAAATGGTTTGGGGGTTGAGGATGATATTCACATACTTTCCCCAATTTTGCAGTGCATCAGTAAGTATCAGACAAAGCAATTACGTGCTGGAAAATTTATTCCCCATTAAATGACATTTCAGATTTCTTTTAGGAGTTTAGGTTACAATAGAGTTGTTGTGCTAACCATTTCAAAGAATGCATGCAAAGGAAAGTAGAGCATCTTGACTGTAGATCCACATTTTTATAAACATACTTATAATCATTAGAATTACAAACCTGTTTTGTAAATTGTTCTATGCTATTTGCAGTGAAGTATTAATTTTCCTCTCCTCCTTCTGCTTATCAACCTGTCATATTTCCTTTCAGTTGAAAAACATTTGTTTAGTTGCCAGAGCTGTGATAACTGAGCACCGGGAAATAATTTCTAAGAAATGTCTTGCATTTGAAGTATGTTGGCACAAATATAGAGGAGACAGGTATTTTATATGCAGCAGTTGAAAAAAAAAGATAAACTGCATCTGTGCAGTGACTAATGAGCTCCATTTTTAAGGTCCAGGGATTGAGGAAACGAGATTCTTACAAATACCATCAAATACATTTAGTATTCTTTCCCTTCAAACAAAGTTCAGTTGGCTTAAACCCAGAGTCTCTCAACCAGACTTATTATGGATTAGATACATTCCGTCTCACAACAGGAATGTGCTTATTAGGAAGGAGGGAAAATGGGGAACAAAGCAATAAAGGCTTAACCATTCGCGTACTTGATATATCAGTAGGAAATGCTTATTAGAAAATATTTGTATTTTATCTTAAGCTGAGGGGATATGCAGCTTTCATGTAAAGAATATGTACAGATGCACCATTTAGAGAATGGTAGACACAGTTTCTTTGCTGTTTATAAACATGAATTTTCACTTCCAAGCACTTTAAAAAGTGCTTGGAATATCAAGAGGATGATATTTAAGTGGGAAAAGTGCACAAAGTGAAATCATCTGGTTTTTTTTAAAGCTGCAATGTTATAGATCCATCCATATTTAATGAAACAGAGTCGAGCTATTAGTATCAGTGGAACAAGCTATTCACAACTGAAGTTTCATTGATTTCGTTTAATCAATAACAGAGTTTCCATCAAACCTGAGTTTATCTTCCGTCAAATATATACACAGGTAGCTTATATTTTGCAAGTCAAAAACCAAATTGTACTCTACCAAAGGATGGTTTTTAAATACAAGAAACTAAGATGAACAGTAAAGAATGCACTTTATCCAAGATACCTACATTGTATAAAGAGATTATCCTATGAAAGTAGCCATTGATTCCACTGATAACAGATCAAACAGAACTACTTTCCACTGAAGCACCATTCCATTGTCTTACATATGAAAAGCTTTAATTGTCAAAATCAAAAAAGGAATTTATTTACATTGTTCAGCATTTCCTGACATGTAAAACAGTATGGATAAAAATTAATCAAAAATGTCAACTACACTTCTCATAATATTGTTTAGAAGACTAAACAATGAATAGCAATTCACTTTTCTGCAGATATCTGAGAAGGAATAGTTTCAAAATTAGATCTGGAGGTAAATAATCAAGTTACCTTAAAAATACCAGAACTTGAAGCAGAACCGAATTGAGGATCTGATGAGCCAATCTATCCTACCATTTCTTTTTCTACTTAGCTCTGCCAAGGTGCACTCGATAAGTAGATGACAGCATCACAAGATAGAGAGGAAGTATTCAATCACTTGTTGAGATTCCAAGAAATATATAAATGTCCCAACTACAGCATAACCAAATTTAATTTCTCCAACCTCCACGGGGTATTATTTATTAATTAATTAAATTATTTAATTAAACCAATTTATATTTTCTGGGCCCGATTTAAGGCTCTACTGCTGTAAAGGGCTAGTCTCATGCTTTAAAACCTGACATATCATAACTGCTTGTGATTTCTTAATAAATATAGTACATTGATTGTGTTGGTGATGGAGGGGCAACCTTAAGAATGGGCTTAAGGATTCAGTCTTGAAGGAGCTGGACTTAAACATATTATGGACTTAGGTTCAGTATTAGGATGTCAGCTTGGTGCTCAGTGTAAGTCTTCCTCACTTATTCCATATATTCTTATCCTGGATTGAACAATATGGGTTTATATAGTCTACATTTAATGAAAAAAATAAGGCTTGAATTAATCCCATAGTAATGCCCCTTCCTTGGTTGGGCAGCTCTTCATACAGTTCTCATGTCCTAGTCACTGATGACTGAATTATTGCAAAGCACTTTTTACTCTGGGTACTTGGTTAATATAGGAACATACTTACACACAGCATTAATTTATATTAAAAATGGCTCCATATTTGAATTTTGATCGCATTAGGAAATTCCTTTTTTTTAAAAAAATGTCATTTATCTTTATTTCTTCTCTCCCCTTTTTTCAGTATTAACAGAATAAAGTAGAATGCACTCAGCCTTAGAGAATTCTCTTAGTATTGCTTTCCATTAGAAGACATTGAAGTCTATGTACCAGGACAAGTAATTGACATTTCCAAAAATTTGTCTCTAATTTTGCTTTCATCCATCTTGTTAGTCTGATAATTATTTCATAAGCTTGTGAGTTTAGTATGCTGAATGCAATCCAGCCTGGATGCAATCCAATGAAAGACACAAAATTTGGATACCGTTTATTATGTTACCTTTCAGTTTATATAAACTATGAGTATAGTTGAAATCTATACTGTATAATATAGCTGCAATTAACATCCATGATCACTGAAGAATATTGGACAGTTGAAAACAATTTATTCTTTGTAAAGTGGCAAATATTGTTTTACTGTCCTAACAGTCACACCAAAGCATCTAAGATTGATCGTATTGAATATCTAATTGTAGTTGAAGAAATAATTTGCTTGATACAAAAATTATAACAAAGCAGTTCTATATTTATTGATGAGTGGGCAGCTTGGACTACTTAGTTACTCATTATATGTACTGCTCTTTTTTTATATCTCCAAACATTAACATAGTTGACATTTTTAAACAACAAGTTCAAAGATGGCTTGGCATAGAAATTTATTCTAGTTCAAACTGGGGTACATTTATCTTTTTTAAATGATTTCCCTAACCAGGTTATTGAATTTGTCTTTTTTTTCAATCTATACATGAAGTAGAATTTTGGATCAGTAACAGTGGTAATACTATCATTTTAAAGTTTAATAAAGTTGACTTATTAAAAGAAGTATGGTTCAGTTAGGGTAGATCTGAATTTCAGGTATGCAGATATTTTAGCATCACTAAACCAAAGTTTTGTTTCATTTTTTCAAACAGGTTGAAGCAATGAAAACAGCACTTAACAGTCTTAGCCTGAATATTGTAGAGATGACAGATGACCAGGCAACCTTAGACGGAGGAGATGTTTTATTTACAGGTATAGTAAGGTTAAAAACCTTTTTAATATTTGAATTCTGCAGACAGGTTGATTATAACATATCCACTTATTAGATTCTCCCAACACAATATTACATTAGTAAACTTGCTTTCCTATCATGCACATTAGACATTCAGTACAGTAAATCTTTTTCTAAGATAAAATTTGATCTTGTTATTATAACAAGTGAAAGAGAACAAATGTAATAAGTACTACCTGTATGTCATGTGATACGTGTTATGTATTATGATAGATATAAAAAAAGATTTCCTCTGACATTGACCTTCTTAGTTGTAACATACATTGTGAATAACAAATAGTTTTCTTTGTACAATATTGGTAACATTTAGGTCTTAATTGTCTTATATAGTTTATTGCAAGTAGAGAAAAGACAAAAACAATTTCATTTTAGATAAAATGTAAAATGTTTTAAAAGTGTTATGTTCATAGCCCGAACAGGAAAAGTGGAAGTAAAATCATAGACTGATTTGGAAAATAGTAATGATGAAACATAATGAAAGAATGTTTGCAATATCCCCCTTTTAATAGACTTTTGATCATTTCTGGATCTTCTAGTCCATGCTGTTTTTAAGCTAAATGTACCATTTCTGCTTTTAAGGACGGGAATTTTTCGTGGGTCTTTCAAAACGGACCAACCATCGTGGTGCAGAAATTTTGGCAGACACCTTTAAGGTTAGCAGATTTACCAGTGTTCTTTCTGGGGATAGATATACAGGTATAAAGGCACAGGAATTTGTAAAATTCCCCACTTCTGCCTGCCTCCTGACTGTGATGATTGCTCTCCAACACCAGACCATCATGAGATTTATTCTAACCAATTGGGATTTATTAAATATACTCTCACACACATCACCATAAGCCATATACAATGGTAACAAACAATTGTCATTGGGTTCATATTAAACCAAAGCCAAACAATAATTAGGAATTACCCTGAAACTCAGTAATTAGGAATTACTGTGATGTGTGAGCCAAGCCAGTATTCTATCTTAAGATTTATCAGCAGGATAAAAAATGAGCAATGTGATACACGATGCTTTAAGCTAGTATGATTTTTGCATATGATTCCATTACAAATGAAGGTAAAAATACCTGGGAGCTATATGCTTACCACTTTTTTAAAATAAATAAATAAATAAATGCAATAAATTATCATCCAAAATTACCAAAGATTTTGATATTTTCATACTAAACTTATTCTAACAATACATTCCTACAACAATAAACAATTTAGTTTATTTTCACTGTATATTTATAGGATGAACAGTGTCCAAAAAGTGTTTTAACTTACAGAAAGTCAATAAGTTTGTTTTACAAATCATGCTGATTTCTATTTGTTCCGGTTCCTGTTCATAAGAATGGGTGCCTTTAATGCTTTCCAATATTGTGATATATTTATTTTACCTGATGTAAGTAAAATTCAAATAAATTGTAAGTGTACAGGAGTTCTTCTTGGAATAATAGTTCATTTTTTATTTGTTTTCTGAAATAATGATGACATAGAAAAGAAAATTGTCCAGTAAAATGTGCTGTGTTTCTAGAATTGAGTTCATTTTACCTCCAAAATACATGCAGATATGCAGACACTGAAAAGTACAATTTACAGGTAGTCCTCATCTTACAACCATAATTGGGACCAAAATTTTAATTGCCAGGTTGTTAAGTGAGCCTCGCCTAGTTTTACAACCTTTTTTGCCACAGTTGTTAAGTGAATCACACAGTTCCTAAGCGAATCCAGGTTTCCCCATTGATTTCTCTTGTCAGACGATAGCTGGAAGGTTCACCAATTGTGATCATGTGACCCTAGGATGCTGCAACCATTATAAAATACATGCCAGTTACCAAGCACCCTCATTTTGATCATGTGATCATGAGAATGCTATGATTTGTCATGCAAGGACCAGTTATTAAGTCATTTTTTTCAGTGCTGCTATAACTTTCCATGGTCACTAAATGAATGGTTGTAAGTCAAGGACTACCTATCTAATTGGCTTAATTTATGAAACGATTAATCTAAACAATTCTTTGCAAACACCTCATTTATATGCAGGATTATGCTGTTTCTACAGTCCCTGTTGCTGACTCCTTGCATCTGAAAAGCTTTTGCAGCATGGCTGGACCAAACCTCATTGCTATTGGTTCAAGTGAAATTGCGCAGAAAGCCCTCAAGGTAAACATGATGAATATTGCCAGTGTATTGTTTATATAGCAGTATTTTCTGTAAAAAAAAACCCACACAGTCTTTATAGGCTGCAAGTATAAAATTCTGGTCTTTACAAACTTGAAATGAAGCACCAAATTCAGCCTGATGTGGCTCAACGCAAGTTTATATGAATAAGCAGGTTTCTAAAGTTATAAATAAAATCACAAAATGGGGTGGGGGAGTTGTTCATTATTAGAATTACAGCAAGCATGGAGAATAAATCTAATCTCCCTGGTTGCAGTCATGAGGGGCAGGGGGAAACTCTGACATTACTGTCCTGCTTTGGGAGTAAAAATCAATGCAATGCAGATTTACCTATTTACTTACAAAATGTATTAACCTGAATATTGCAAATCAGGTAAAGTACAATAAATAAATAAAAATAAACAAAATAAACAAGTTCAGTCTAATTCAAAACCTCAATAGGTGGACCAGAAAATTGCTTTCATATTACTCTATTCATATCTTTCCATTCAACCCAGGCCCAAAGTCCAAGAAAAAAAATCAGATTTTTATGCGTTTCTGAAGGCTCCACAATAGAAAAGGCATAGCTAATAGGTCTCACCAGAGAGCATTGTTTCAGAGGTGCACCAACCCTATTATGCTGGGTAATGCAACAGAAAAAGCAGGACAAGAGAATACCATGGCTGGCTGCTCATTGCAACAAAATATTGTATATCCTATGGGTGGTGGCACTGGAGCAGACATTAAGTATCAGAAGTGATAACTGAAATATTACATTTTGTACTATAGATAGAATTGTTTGATATTATACTTGTACTGCATAATCTGTGTTCATCTGCCTGTGTCCCACATTTTGATGGTGTTAGGGATTAACCGAGATATATTCAGAACTCAGATGAACTATAAAATGTACCTATAAGAGTGCAGAGAAAAGCAACAAGATGCTCAGGGCATGTCGGCTAAAGAAGAACAGTGAAAGGAACTTGATATGGTTAGCTCAAAGCAAAGAAGGCCAAGGGGAGACAACATTTTGACACATGTTAAATGGAGATTTATTCTTGTTAAAATTAAGGGTAAGACAAAAATCAGTGAGTGGAATCTTTATAGTGAGAGACCCAAACCTGAACTAAGGAGGAATTTCCTGAATGTAACAGCTATTAAGGGATGGGAGAATGAACGGAGTGGAGGGGAAACAACCAGACTGCTGCCTAAAATTGTAGATTCTCCATCAGTGGAGATATTTGAGAAAAGACTGGAAAGTCATTGATCCAGAATTGTATAAGGATTCCATACTTAGCAAGAAGACTGCCAAGGTCCCTTCCATCCCTATTATTTTGTAACAATGAAAGCATTTTGTATTGATAATAGCTGTTTTTGAGAAGTTAGTCTCTTCTGGATGGCATTGCACTCTGACGGAACAGCTGTGCAGGTTGAGTTACTCCTCAATTCTGCATTATGACTAGAATTTCAAATGATCTCAGTGTCATTAGGTTGTCAGCCTCAGTATTTCCTGGAAAAGTCCGTAAATTAGATTAGATGTAATGTGTTTTGTTTTTTTGCAAGACATCTTAATATGGCTACAGGAAATTAGCTAGCCTAATCTAGTATGGAGTTATGTTTTATCAGTTCTGAAAGATTTCATTGGCTGACAGTTCAGCTTAAAGGCCCATTTCAAAGTATGATGCTTTTTTCTAGAGCTCTAAATGGCTTGGAATTGAAATATTTGAAATAACCTCTAACACCAGCCTGCATTTATCTATAGGCAAGATTAAAGTCTTCTCCATATAACAGATAGAACAGAAGTAATATTTTCACCCACAAAAATGTAGAGGACTGTTCCCTGAAACAACATCCCAACTTAAAGTACTTTTCTATTGTTTGTTAAGGGTATACAAATAAATATACAGCCCTGTGGTAGTGGTGATAATGATGATTTTTGGATGAAAGTGCCATCCACAAAATGTGGAAACAAATTGTGTGTCAAGGAATAGTGCCTGAAGGTCTGAATAAATGCCTTCTTTGACTTAAAAGAATTTAGACCCAAGAATGCAAAGATTGCCTTCAGGTTTCACAAGAAAAAGAACAAATATAGATGGCTCCATCTAGTGACTGACCAGTGTAAAGTATCTCATAGCTGTTTTTGAAAGGGTTTTTCAGCTAAGTTGAACAAATGCTCCTAAACAGAAAGGGCTGAATAAACTTCTTATGAAGATTGTCTTTTTCACAGATGCACACAAGCATTTGTTTTGCCTTTTCCTTCTGCTCATAGCCAATGAAATATTCCATAATATGTGTGTTTGTTCCTTGATGTGGTACATGTAGTCCTTGACTTACAAACACAATCAAGACCAAAATTTATTTATAGGTCATAAATATGTTGCCAAGCGTCTGAATTTTGATCATGTGACCATGGAGATGCTAAAATGGTCATGCGAAAAACTATCATGTCTTTTTTTTAGCGTTGTTGTAATTTTGAAAAAAAACTGTTGTAAGTCGAGAACTATCTGTATTCTAGAACAGTATTACTGTATAGCAAGGCAGAGCTTTAAAATATGGCTTATGCCTGCATAAGTTGAAATGTTCAGAATTTAACTTGGACTCCTGCAAACAGGTTGGCTCTTAGTTGGCAGTTTCGGAAGCTGTGGCTCCACCCACAGACAAAGTGTGCTAGGTTGGAGAAACATGTAGAAGAATTCTTAAAATTCTTAGCTTCATTTAATATTTAGCTTTCATGGTGCTATTTTTGCCCAGTTGTGAACTGAGACAATTGCGCATACCTGTTTTTAATTAAGGAAGAAACAGAATGGAGAGAAAAAGAATAAACATTTAGTCAATGTCAATATACAGAGAGTGTATAAGGAGATATTGTAATCCCAGATCAAGATTGTGCCCTGATCACGTGTGTTGTATTGGCATTGTGGGGAAAAAATGAAGTATAGTAACTTCTTTTATTTGAATAGATCAGGAGCAAGAAATTTTTTTTTAACTTCAGAAGAGTCTGCATTATAGTGGGACTAATTGTCGTCACATTGTTCTTTTTTGCATTTAAACCATCTTCATGGTCTCTAAAGTATCTAAACAGAGATGTCATGCTAGTCAGTAGATCTCTTCACCAGTCTAATGCTTTACGTAACATAGTCACACTATCTTGTGTTTTGCGCCTAGAGTCATTTTCAGAATTTTGCAGAGTCCTGCTGAAGCAATAGTTGAAATGATGCTAATGAACAAATCCCTTTTGCTGCAAGCTACCTGTCATTTCAAACACTTAGGATTTTGTATATTGCAATCTACATTCCCTATATGATTTAAGTAGTACTATATATATGTATATGCCAGGAAATAAAATTAATATTTTCATGCCTCTTTGCTAGAATATTTTCTAGCAGATATTTTCTACTATTATGAGAACTGAAACAGTGATACATTTTACACCTGAAATGCTTGGCTGGTGTGGATCATTAGGTTTTCCACTACTGAATTGTTCTTTTATATTACTTTACTTATTCTCCATATTTTTGCCACCTCATCAAACATCTCTAGGCAGCATCAAACAAAATACATAGAAAAATAAAATTATTAGAAAAGAGAATATATTACACAGGGCACATTATTCCACAGGAGTTTTTCTTACCTCCTTTATAGGTCTTTATGCAGGATTCAGCTAACATTGTCTTCCATTTATCATCAGCCCTGTGTCTAGGTATTTGGCATGAGACATGGAGAAATAGAGACTTGTTAATGACCAGAAACTGGGCCAGTATAAGAAGTGTCTTGAACAGTACTGAATACTGAGTTGTGATGGCCCAGTGGTTAGAATGCAATGTTGCAGGCTAAGTTTACCAACATCCAGAGTTTGATCCTGACTAACTCAAGGTTGATGCAGCCTTCCATCATTCTGAGGTTGGTAAAATAAGGTCCCACATTGTTGGGTGCAATATGCTGACATTTGTAAACTGCTCAGAGATTGCTGTAAAGCATTATGGAGCTATGTACTGTATATGTCTAAGCACTATTGCTATTGCTAGTACGAGTATGATTGGATAAAGATGGATGATGTGATTTGGAAACATCTGAGTAGATTGTATAATGAAGCTGCTTAAACCTTGTTTATTTGTTGGCCTGGCAAAATGGAGTTCAGGTTCAAGTCCTCCTTAGCACATGGACAAATCGATGTCAATCACAATCTCTCAGAGCAATCTGCCTGATAGATTTATTATTATTGGAATAAAAATGAGACTCACCTTATAAGATGGGATATTAAGGTAAATATAATGCAAAAATGATAAATGGCATTAGCTAACAGGGTTTGACAAGATTTTTATTAGGGAGATATGTACGATATTTATCCATAACGTATGAATTTTGTGGCATTCAGTGCGGGAATTATTACTGCTATTACTGCTATTTTAGTATGTCCTAAACAGACTGTTGCTAAAGATGCTAATTTCAGTAAATTTGTAGGAACCACAATTTTTCACAGGTCAGATTTACAGTAGGATAATAAGATGGCCATGAAGTATGGAGCACAAATAAGAAATGCAAGAACCAAATAAATGAAAATTTCTTCCATGACTAGAGTGAAATTGCTAATGAGGCAAGGTATTTAGCATAATTTTAAGTTGCAAATCTTTTAAGTTGCTTCTTTGAATTTTAGTTTAAAATGCCATGGTAGCATGTGGCATTGTTCCCTAGCTGCTATATTATCAAGATAAAAGGAACAATAAACAGGAAATAAATAGAAAGTTCAGGAAATTACTAATTTCTCCTAACATGTAATTATGAAGAATGAGGTAAAAGTGTAAAAGACCTGACTAATTGCTTTTGAATAGGACTTTTCCGTGCAGCTGCTGTTTCTTTCTCCCCTTCCTGAACTCTTTTGGTGAAGAATTATTTTCATTCAACACATTAAAGGCTCTGTACATAAGCCATTGTTCTTTAACTGGACTCAGTCTTGTTTGCAAATGACTTTATATAATAAAGCTTGATAAAAGTAAACAAGGCAT